TCAATCAAATGGTAAAGTAATTTATAGTATATTTTGAGAGATGAATGAATGAAATGTTTGATTTGTTATTTCCAAAAACAGTTCATTTATTATACTTCTCTCTCTCTCTCTCTCTCGAATTCAATAGTGGACTAAATATTTTGCGTTCAAAACATGAAACAAAATATCTATTGATTTGAACTAAATATTAGTGATATTAATGTAAGATATTTATAAATAATGGTGTGTTTGGGTCTTATTATTGCAAATTATGATTAGTTTTATTAGTAAATTATTAGTTGGCATATAATTGTATAATAACTCGTACTCACAATTAAACCATTGTTTGTTATCGACTCAATCATTACGTAATTAGATTTTTGCCTCAAATCTCTGGTCTCTTTGATTGATGTCTATTAATTGATTCGCGTATTAATCCATCAAATGTGAAACATTTGCCGTTATTATACACATACCTGTGCTCTGCTTCCCATTCACTCGACACACAACTATCTGTTGTGTTTCTCTAACCATAAGATTAACATAAGATTTAGATTATAGGAATCGATAGAGAAATAAGAAATCCATTGGTTTTATGGATCGAAAAGAAATTTAATTGATTTCTCACTCAAATACACACAAACGGAGTCGTGATCTTTGCTTTGCTCTGCGATACCAAAAGCAATCAAAATTATTATTGCATACAAAACCAAATTTAATCAAATCATAATTATTTTTGCCGATAATCTATTGAAACCAATGGTAAGGAATGTTTGGGATTTTAATTTGAATTTAAGATATATTCAATCGATTCGGATAGAAATGAATACATTTATCAATTATAATAATAAAAGTATTCAAAAGTTTTTTTTGTTGGTTTTGTTGTTTTACTGTCGATTGGATTCAACTTTCAATTCAATCTAAATTTAGTTTCAATTGATTCGTTCACTTCCTTTAGCTATTAAAACAATTTTGATGTTTTTATTTTGTGAATTGATTTTATCGTTTTTGGATTTTAATGCAATTTTCGTTTATTAAATGTACGCTTAAATATACAGTACATTACAGTATGTATTGAACGAAAAAAATGCATTAAATTTGGTTCAAAAACGCAATTCATAACTCATTTTAATTATAATAAACTAATAATTAGTGATTTTTATTCAATTTTAATGAACTCATAAATTAATTATCGATTCGATGCCCAAAAACAAACCCACAGAAAATGCACAGCAAAACAAAATTACACTTCAATTTAATTATCACTAAACGAAATGAGATTTTTTGCTCTTAAACTTAATATCATGTGTTATCTAATCATGCATTCAATGAAGTTTTAAGTCATCCATTAATTGTTAACTAATACTAATACTAATCTCTTTTTATTACTTGTCTTCGACTTCTTAAACACATTTGTAGATCAGTCCACAAAGATCGGCACCATCACCGTCATCAGCAGCACCACCACCACCAGCGCCATCAGCAGCATTACCACCACCAGCACAAGAAGTAGCCCCACAACAGCCGGCACCGGGTATTCCGGAGCCCTTTGCCGCACAACCTGTGGAGGGAAACCAAGCAATGGTGATCACCCGCGAGCGGATCCGTCTCGCTATTCACGACCCGGACCTACAAGACGACCACCAGTTGAACAACTGGTGGTCGAAGTACCACAAAGAAGGCCCAAAACCCCAATAATCCCACATATTTAACGCTAAACAACATAAAAATACTTGTAATTCCTATATGTTGTAGTGATTTGTTGTTTCGGTGAATAAAATTTATCTCAAAACACATTGGATTTGTTTGAAAACTAATTGTTTGTTTGCTTTTTGTGATCATTTATAAAACATGTTTGAAATGCAAACATAACTAAAGAGTTGCTTACGTTTCTACTATTAATAACATATTTCTAAGATCTGATTGAATGCAAACATACATTAAACCCCAAACGAGTGGTCAGTCTATGTGTGGAGTATGTGTCGGGACTGACCATCAAATCGAGAGTCGATTCAAAGTTTTGGCAAAAGTTTTGTCAAGAATTTGAACCAAAATTCAGGTCTCAATAGATGTCAACACTTTTTCATAGGATTTCGCATTCAATGCAAAATAAACACTACTTTTGATTCATTTTCAATGCAATCGACGTTTGGATCAAATAAAGTGACAAAAGGCTGTCTTATAGTAACATCTGGTCTGCCATTGAGTGGCAAAACATATATCACCACTCAATTGATCCACAAATGGTCACCACTTCGCGACACATCACTCGACGGTTGTGTTCACTTCTTTGCCGTGTCTTTAGACTCATTGATGACAATCAAAGACCAATCGCTTGTTATCCAGAGGAATGGCTTTTGGAGACAATTCAGACGTCGAGTTCTGTCAGCGACCAAACGCTTTGTCCACCAATTGATTGACAGAGACTTTACCACCGATTGTCGCGTCTGTGAAGACACAAATGTGATCACAATTTTGGACTCAATTCACAGAAACAATAAGACATCGATTAATGAATGGAGAAATACTCCCGAAGACAATGACAGACACTTCGCTGTCATTATTGACGACAACCATTACTACAAGAGTATGAGATATGAGTGGTTCCAGACGTCCAGACAGTTATCGTTGGGTTTCGTCATAATTGCGATCAACTGTTCACTCGATTTAGCTCTCAATCGGAATCGATTGCGAGACGAAGACAATCATCTGCCAGAAGATGTGATCATCAAAATGGCTGAACGTTTTGAGTGTCCGAAGAATACGGAAGCGTTTGAAATGAGGACTCATTTCTTGTGCGCCGACGACTCGCCCGACATTTGCGTCAACCAATCGTTGATTGATATGATAGTCGACGCCATCGACAACCCATTAGTTGACACAAGCGGTCGATCACCGGTTGAGGAACAGCTGAAACAACGACTCGACAACACATCGAAGAATAATTTAATTCATAAAATTGATTGCCTTTTAAGACAAATAATAAATGAAATAATTGTCGAAACGATTGATAAGAAAACTACTGCTAAACATCTGAACGAATCCAAGAAGTGTTTGATCAATGATTTGAGACAAACCATCGCTTTTTTACCACAAACTATAGTCAAAGAGTTATCGGAAAGTGAATCTAATGTTGACTTTAGTCCACAAATCAAACTCTGCTTTAAATCTCTTTTGTTATTGGATTTAAAATAATGTATTATTTGTTATTTATTAAAGAGTTTATTAAATTATATTTTATTAAAATAATTGTTTCATTAAAAGCAATTCATTGATAACATTGAGTACATTAACGAAACACTTGATAAACACAATTCTCAAATCATTTACGATTTTTATTTCAATGAATACTTAAAATTCAATTTCAAAACATAATAATAAAATAGATTTCCGTAAAAATCAAATGTCATTCAAAATTGTAGTTAAACTCTAATTAAATTCATATATGATTTAAATATATGACATTCAGTTTGGATGCGAAAAATATATATCGATTGATAGGTAAAGGAGTGAATATAATAGCGATTCAATTCAAATCAATGGTCTAAAACTAATTGGCAGTCTTTACGTCTGACCTAAAAATCGCAAATAAAACAACAAAAATCAATTAAAATTACAAAATTCACACCAAAATCAAGTGACAACTCACCTAAATATGCCGACAACGACCGCGTGGTCTCTCTCGTAGGGCTCGAGAGTGACCTGTTCTAGAGGTTTCACTTTATCCTCAACTAATTTCTTAACCTCCTGTGCGAACACAGCCTCTGCCGGTGCTGTCGAGTCAATACAATTGGCCTGAAGTACACAACAAAAGCAAACAANACCTAAATATGCCGACAACGACCGCGTGGTCTCTCTCGTAGGGCTCGAGAGTGACCTGTTCTAGAGGTTTCACTTTATCCTCAACTAATTTCTTAACCTCCTGTGCGAACACAGCCTCTGCCGGTGCTGTCGAGTCAATACAATTGGCCTGAAGTACACAACAAAAGCAAACAAAACAATTATAAATCACAGCCAATATTAAGACCAAAAATAAGACAAACCTTAATAGAGATGACGACATGTCCGCCAATCTTAAGGAAATGCTGAGCGTTAAGGGTAACGATACGGGCCTGATCTGGTTGGGCCACGTCGGCGAAGATCGTGTCCACCATCGACATCACCATTCGGTACTTATGCGGGTGTCGCGCGTCTTCGATGATCGGCACAATGTTGGGCCGCTTTTGGGCCACACCTAACAGGTCTAGTCATCAAACAATACAAACATACAATCAGTATCGACGAGAACACACACCACAATCCAAATCTCAAGACATACCTCGACCCGAACGGTGAGAGAACTCGACGGCGTATACGCGGCCTTCGGGTCCGACAATATCGGACACGTGGGAGACTGTAGTGCCGGACGCGGCGCCCAAATACAGCACTTTAC